AGAGCAACCCGCCAGCAACTCCGAGGCAGGTGGGCCAGGGGGCCCCTGGAAGGATCGGGGAGGCATTTAAATGCCTCCCCGGGCCTTCCCCAGCCTGTCCAAGCGCTGGCTTTCCCGGGCTCCCCACAGCCGCGTGGCACCCAGGCAGGCCAAGGGAAGGCAGTTTAAACTGCCTTCCCTTCCCGGGCAAACCAAGGGAAGGTGTGGGGTGTGGCCTAATATGCTAATGTTTCTGTTGTTGGGTGAGGCCTATTATGCTAATGAGTTCCTGTTGGGCTTTTTCTACAAAAAAGCCCTGACGGTCACCATTCCCATATCAGATCTGCCAAAGTATTTCCACAAGTCCAGTCTTTCCCCAACTTGGGAGGGGAAAGCAAGCAAGTGGCAGAGCAGAGACTAGTGCCATATTAACGACTCCCATAATGACAGCACATTGTTCCAGTCAGTAGCTCCAGAGAGTCCTCCCCAAAATTCAAGCCTAGTCACTCACTCACTCACTGAGAGAAGGATAGGATAATGCTCCCAAGTTAGGGGTAGTAAGGGTACTTCGCAGGATGTTACAAGGCACCTTGCTTACGAGTCCATCTTCTTTCGAAGCAAGAGGGAGAGGTGGGGACCAGTGTTCCCTCTAAGCTGAGTGTGAGCTAGCTCACAGTTCTTTAGCCTCCGGCTCATACATTTTTGTCTTAGCTCAGGAAGGAGGGCTCCAGAGCATACTAATTTATGCAGTAGCCAAATCGCTCGCTCACAACTTTAATGCCAGTAGCTCACCAAGTAGAATTTTTGCTCACAAGACCTTAGAGGGAGCATTGGTGGTCACATTCACCTTGCATTTGTTTGTACATGGGACCACTAGGACCAGGCCTTACTTTTTGACTGGCCCATTCACTAAAAAGCACTTTGGCAAATAATCAGGTTGGTGTAGTAGTTAATGCGAGACTAGGATCAAGGAGACCTGGGTGCAAATCCCCACTCTGACATGGAAGCTTATCGGGTGACCTTCAGCCAGTCACACACTCTCAGCCTAACCTACCTCATAGACTTGTTGCATGGGTAAAACGGAGGAGGGGAGAATGGAGTAAGCCCCTTTGGCTCCCTGTAGCGGAGGAAAGTAGGATATAAATGAAGTAAACAATGTATATTTTTGCTGTTGGCTCATCGGTGACCAGGCCTGAGGCACCCACTGAATTCTACTCCAAGCCCAAATGGGCACGGTTTTTCGAAGCAAGAGAACAGGGCTATAGGAAGATGCAGCCATGGAGGAAGGCACCTTCTTCCAACTCTCAGGCATAAAAGAAAGACGATCCCAAGCATGGTCTGGATCCAACCAGTGGGACATCAGCCAGACCACTGGTGAGCATCTGTCACATCCAACGGCTCAAGCAGCAAGGCCTGGCTCAAATTTGGCTTTTCAATCATACTTTCTATTTCCCAGCAAGCCTGGATTTAATTGAGGCCTTATTTATTTGATTTATACCCCACGTTTATCCCCAATGGGGAGCGAAATAAACGTGCATCGTTCTCCTCTGCTCTGTTTTATCCTCACAACAATCCTGTGAGGTAGATCAGAGATGGGCTAAGGATCGTCCAGCAAGCTTCAAATCTGAACCACAGTCTCCCATATCCATGGCCCAATACTCTAGCCACTGCACTCACTAGAAATGCCACCTTTTCTGCCATATTGCACGGTGACCTTAACCCCCAATAAAGATCTCTATAAATATTCTAAGGATCACACCCAAAACATGTCAGACTAGCAAAGCTGTGTCCAGAATACAGTCCCAAGTGACTGCAGGAAAAAACAGATCTGTGCAAAACTAGAACCTTTCTAGAAAGACAGGCAGAGACTGATCAAGAGAGGGATCTTGGAGTCGTAGTAGATAACTCACTGAAAATGTCGAGACAGTGCAATAAAGAAGGCCAATGCTATGCTGGGGATTATTAGGAAGGGTATTGAAAACAGATCAGCCAATATCATAATGCCCCTATATAAATCAATGGTGAGACCTCATTTGGAATACTGTGTGCAGTTCTGGTCACCACACCTCAAAAAGGACATTATAGCTTTGGAAAAAGTGCAGAAAAGGGCAACTCGAATGATAAAAGGGTTGGAACACTTTCCCTATGAGGAAAGGTTAAAGCGCTTAGGGCTCTTTAGCTTGAAGACTGAGGGGTGACATGATTGAGGTTTACAAGATTATGCATGGGAAAGAACAGGTAGAGAAAGAGGTACTTTTCTCCCTTTCTCACAATACAAGAACTCGTGGGCACTTCATGACATTGCTGAGTGGTCGGGTTAGAATGGATAAAAGGAAGTACTTCTTCACCCAAAGAGTGATTCACACATGGAATTAACTGCCACAGGAGGTGGTCGAGGCTACAAGCATGGACTGCTTCAAAAGGGAATTAGATAGGCATATGGAGCAGAGGTCCATCAGTGGCTATTAGCCACAAGGTATAGATAGGGGCTCTGGGGCAAGTGATGCTCTGTCTTCTTGGTGCTTGGGGGGGCCAACAGTGGGAGGACTTCTAATGTCCTGGCCCTACTGGTGGACCTGATGGCACCTGGTATTTTTGGCCACTGTGTGACAGAGTGTTGGACTGGATGGGCCTTTGGCCTGATCCAACATTGGCGTCTCTTATGTTGTTATAACTGTCAGCTGTCACCTTCAGTGACAGTGATTACGACATTAGAAACCCTTTCAGGGTTTCTGAAGCACTCGCTTGCAACGAACTCAAACAGCACAGCAAGATTCAAGTGGATATGTTCAGGTCCTGAAATGCTCCAATGCCAGCAGCGGCAAGGAAACACTGTACTTGCTGTAGAAAAGAAGCAAGCTGGGCTCCAGATTGAAAGGTGAGGTTGTTTCAGCCGATTTCGAATCGAAGCTCCTTTACAGCAAAGAGCTTTGAGAAACAAAGGGAGTAAGAATAACGAGCATCTCAAAGCAAAAAAGCTTAGATGTGCTTAACGCCACAACGTCAAAGGGAGCTCTACCTAGCTCGCTTGCCGTTTATAGTCAAAGTGCCAGTGTGTCAGATCATGTTTTCTGCCTGGCCCAAAGGCGGGAGAGAAACTGAAATTCCTCCTCAAACGACTGCCGCCCCCATGCCTTTTCTTCATCCGAGGGCCAAACAAGCTGACACTTTGTGTTATGGCAAGCTGGGGGCCCTTATTAATTCTACATCCAGCTGGCTGCCATTCGGACCACAATAGCTGCCCCAGAAATGCTGGGATTTTCTCCCCCTTCATAATTATGGAAATACATGGCACCACACTGCCAGGAAGATGCAGGACAATCCCCCATGTCTTACATAAGCAGAAAACTGCATACGCTAGCCAGCTGGTTGGCAAGAAGTCTCCTCCCCCCACACCTCAGCGGGAGCCAAGTAAATTTGGTTCTCATTTGGAACAATGGTCTAAATCCAGCTATTGTGTCTGGGCATCAACAGCTCGTAAGCAGCACGTACATCTGTCTGCTGAAAAGGAGAAGTATGGGCAATTAATAAAGGGAGTGTTTCTAACTCACAGCATCTTTGAGTAGCTGCACTGCCACATGTAGCCAGGCCAGAGGGGCAAACACATCTCTGCTTTTGAACAGTACAGGCAAGAACTTGCTACTTCATCTATTTCGGTTTTTAATTGCTGTTTCTTCTAATTGGCTTGTACCAATGGTGGTTCCCCTGGCAGTCATAATTGGTTCACTATTTTCCCTTCAGAAGCCTAACATATGTTCCCCCCCTGCCCCGGTATTTGCTTTTGTTTAAAACCACAGCCCAGAAAGCAGGCGAGTCTGGCCAACTGCTCATAGAGTGTTGCACCTACAGGCTGCTTTGGAAGGATACAGTAGTAGAGATTTAGTTTGGCTCCGTCCATTCAGACCTGGTGCAATTAACTGCACCAGACAAAAGCGCCACAGAAGGCCCATTCAACTTAGTCCCTTTGCCATATTGATACATATCTCCTTCTGCTTGGAAGGATTTACATGGAGTCAGAGGCCATCATGCTTTAAAATGAGGGCCGTTCGTATGCTTGGCCAAGAGCTGCTACAGAAACAAGTGCCCAATGCAGCACTGTTAAGGACTTGCGACACCTTTATTTTTATGTCATGTAACTTAGGTTAAGTGCCACCTGCCTCCAGATTATACCAGAGGGAGGCTGCAGCTACTCCTTTGTGGATTCCAACTTCACAGCGAGCAATTTGCCTCCAAGCCACGACTTTTAAAGCTGTAGCTACTGAGAGGTGTAAACAGCAGGAACCACTTGCTGTAGAACCCAAAGGAATACATCTATGCATAGAAGGTCTGTATGACCAGTTTGCAGACATGGAAAGCATTGTCTTTTTTTTTTTTAAACCAAGTTGGAATATAAACAAGCTTAAAAGCACCCTGCAGTGTGGAATATCGAGGTCAAATGCCTCTAATGAAAATGTATACATATACACCCCCTCGCTTATACACCCTTCTTATTAGCCCAATTTCTTCAGGTTTCCCCACCAGAAAGTGCCTCAGCATTGATCTTTGTTAACACTGCACAGTGCTCAAGGAGGAATGATGGCAATTTTGCTCCTTCTTCATAACCAGAGTCTAAAACCAAATATTAGATTTGCCTCACCATGGCTTGCCTCACCAGCTACTTAAAACTTTGGCATATCAACTGCACCAACATTGAAATCATTTCTCTGTACAGCCATCTACGTAAGTGCTTCATCTTTAAGACAACAATTGCGGATACTTTAGTTGATACACGTCACGTTTTTAGAATATGTTTGATCCTGAAGTACAATCATGGCACTGAAGGAGTCAGCTGTTGATGATATCCTGTTAACAAGTATATGCTGTCAGAACAGCCACCTTGCAACCTGTGCAGGACACCCTAAAAAAAGTGTGTTCCATTATTCCTAATACTGCAGACAGCCAACTTGACACCACGCTATTGGAAAAAATTGTATTTTGGAAGAACTCACTACAGAAGGTGACAGAATTCCAAAATCAAGTTACATGAAAATATACATCGCAATTTATCTTTATACACTGTGAGGAAAACCTGCAGAAGATCAGAAGGGAGGGGGGGAAAGGAGTAAGAGGGAAGAGGCAAGGGTGTATGTGGGCAAGAGGAACAGCATTTAATGCCAAAACCAGAACTCACTTGAAAGCCTAGAGATCTGCATGCTTTTATTTATCCAACCAAAACCAGGCAAGAAATCAAAGTAAAGCAGCTCATCCTATATCAGGCTAACCATTTTCCGAAGCAAAACTGCTCAGCCCTTTGGGGAATACAACAAGCTCAAGGGAGTTCCACAGCTGTAAGTTTTATTGCTACATCCCATCCAAGAGACGTGCACAGCTGGGCTGGTAAATGTCAGAAGAAGAAATGCACCTTTTGATGATGGTGACAGTGCTCAAGTCATTGTTGGAATCAAGGAACAGATCTCTTCTGTTGTATTAAGGACCTCCGAAAAAAGTTCAGGGGAAGGGAGAGAATTACAAAGATATTAAACTTTATTAAAGTGAAAGATTTTAATGAAGCATCAATGGCTCAAAGAAAAAAGTTAAACGGAATCTTTTTTTTTTAAATCCTAATTTGTTTAGTCCAACATGCTTCACAAGAAAATTTTAAGGACTGATAAGAAAAAACCATGGGGGGGAGGGGGGGGGAGAAAACCTGCTAAAATCTTTAGAATTTACACGATTCTTTACTTATCCTAACTACAAGACAGCATTATTTGGTACAATGTGTATTTGTGGATGTACATGAACAGTATATATATTATCCGGATCACGTTGTGCTATGTACACATCTTTACAATTCTTCCTGAAGGTTAAAGCAGTTCATTAGTTTTCAAAATGCGCAAATCTTTGTTGGCACTTGTTAGGCTCTGTCAGCATTGATAACTGGCATGTTTTATTGCAGCCCAGTTCCAGCCAGTGTCTGCCAACTTGGTATAAACAGAAGTCCAGCAATAGGTGGGTAGAGTGCAGGAAAAAACAGTGCCACGTTCCTCAATTGGAGACCTGCAAGACAAGATACAAGGGGCCCATCAGCTAGTTTGACTCAACAGGATTACGGCATCTTCATGCTACTGGCAGTGCTGAAAGAAATCTCTCTGTACTGACCATCTGCACCCAAGAGATACCAACAAGAGAATCCAGACAAAGCGTTTGAGGTGTTTTCAGGAGGCAGTTAATGCTCATGACCAGCATTCAAATGGCTGTCTGGTGTCCTCATTCAAACTTAGTTATAGGGTAGTCCTTGAAAGGACAGCTGCAGAAACTATTACACAACTAGAGTAGCGGCATATTACACAGTCAGTTAAGGTGCATATAACCTCCATAACCTCCATTTCTTAAGGTTCCCCCCAAAATGTCATTTTTACTACAGCAGCTCCTTCCACCAGCTCTCTTTAACATGCAAGATAGGTTTCAAAAAGGCTTGTTATATTCACATGCTTAGTGACAGCACTGTCCTTGTCAGAAAGAATATTTATGATTTCAAGTGACACAGAACTATTTTCATCTATACAGAGCAAGAGATTTGTTGTTTTTAACCACTTTTCCAAGTATGTAGCACTTTCCACCTTGCAATATGAGAAAGTGCGCTTATGCACTTAACGTTAGATACCTTTTCATACTTTCTGTTGAAGATTTCTGTACAACTTAGAAGCTTGCACACAGCTTAGGATCTTGATCTATCTAGGGTTTACAGCAAAGGGAAAATGACTCAAACAGAGACTGAGGCATTTAACATAGGGTTACAGCCCACTCAGAAGCTACACGCACCTCGCTGTCAAACTCAGATGCAAGATGCAGCAATTTCGTCTCCTTTGTTCAACATATTCTACACTTAAGCCTCCCAATACCATTAAGAATAAATGGAATACAAGAGCATGCCAAGATGATAGTTCGACAATTTAAACCATCAGTCAGTAGAAGAAAGGAATTAATCTGCAACAAAAATTCCTTACAGCCTAATACAGTTATCACAGCACATGCTAAAAAACATGAGGGAAGGATCACTTTTTCAGTGCTCTACTCACTCGTTAATATCTTCCTGTATCTGGAGCATTTACTACCTTTCTCACTGACAAGTTGCCCCATAAAGGAAAATATCTCACTAGGCAATTTCACATACACACTGGATAGCCAGCTTTCCAGAGACTCCAGCTACAAAACAGACCTATACACCCACCCAATACACAGCACTGCTTCTCAGTCTCAACACAGAACTCTCAGCATGTGATCAAACCAAGTAGTAAGTTCATGGAAACAAATCATACAGAGGTGTAGGGACAACCAGCAGACAGTTTTCACACACACCATATGAAAAGTGTGCATGTTAAGGTATGTTTTTACGGTTTGTTGACAAAAATGAAGAATCCTTGGGGGAAAACTGAAAACTTCAGTCTCCCAAGCTGCACATGAGTAGAGGAACAGCAAGTACCCAAGGGCTGCAGAAACTTGCTCTCAAACAACGGTTTGTGGATTATCTGGATGCCACCTCCTTCCTTTGGCAGTATTGAGGGGGGGGGGATTAGTTTCTGCTCAAGAAAATTGAGAAGCAATGAACAGAGGAAATGTGTTTTGTGAGGACTCTTACCTCAATGCTTTAAGTGTACAGGATCTAACAAGTAGGGGGGGATAATGAGCTAAGAGAAGGAGAAAAACTATTGACAAATTCCACACCACGACCCCCTGCAAGAAGCCTTTAACCTCTAAGCAGCCTACGTAGGCTGCCTCCTCCCCACTATTCCCACCCTTATTTCAATTCAACCGCTGCTACTATTCCACTTTCTTGGAGCATGGTCCATCCTCATCAGACTAGTTTTTAGGGCGTTCTCATTTAAGAAGAGAGATTTTCTGCATGCTTGGGCAGTGAGTGTGACCAAGTACACTGTGGATGGCCTAGTTTTGCTGCTTTGGTGACTGTCATGTTAGGCAGGCAATTTACTATTAGATGTAATGATGGTGATGATGATGATGATATTTGGTAAACCTAACCATTGCAGCTCTTTCAGCTCAAATGGGAAGTGTCTGTATTTTTTGTACTTACCCTGAAAAAGTGAAGCTACTAGCTGCTGAATTAAATGTCACTCAAAAGCTGTCTCTTGGCTTTTTCTTACACAGCGGGCGACTTTCCTCTTGAATTCTCCATTTCTATCTTCCCTCCATTCTTTCTGTAAATGGAAATCCAGATGTCAAAAATGACGACTCAGCATAAAGTAAGTGGCTTAATGTACTTCCCCAGACATCCTGAAATCTTTAAGTCTGTTATAAAGGTACTCTCCCCTTCTTCTCTAAGAGTAATCCACATTGGTCATTTGAAACTTCCCCATTGCTGATCATATTTGACATGTCATCTTTCTGGGCAGCTTCGCAGCAAATGCCATTTCAATTTTGTGTTTCACTTTGTTTTAAGAAAACAAACTTCCCACAAATCCTGAGTACAAATACTTTGTCTATTCTGTGCCGTTCTGTGCCAAGAAAAGCCAAATTCTGCACTCTGAATAAACTGATTTGCACAATCATGCGACTTGCGCTAGCTATCAGGACAAAGGGGCTAAGCAGAACATTCAAGAGGCTATTCCCTGGATCAGTTTAGTCTAATTCCTGGGAATTCATCAGCCGCTGTCTCAATGTGTTATTTTAAAGGACTGAAAGGTTGCTTCTCCAGAATGTGTTCTATAACAGATTATCACTTTCTAAAACATCTGCGGTCCAGACGCAGATGGGACTGAAGAACCACCTGTTTCCTGTACAGAGCCCCAGACTCATCACCACCATCATACCTGGGATGGGCTCTGCCAAAATCTCATCCATTGTACTCTGCAGCTTCTCTCTGATTAAAGAACCATTTAAGCAGGCAGTTGCCTATAGAACACAGTCCTTCTAATGCCTATTTGGTTAGTTATGTATGGCATAACAGGGGCTCTTAGGGGTTAAGATTCTTATGCTTAGAAAGCATTATTTTTATTTTGCTTGGTCTTATTCTACCTATCCTCCATGACATTTGTGACATACAGATGTTCTAATGATGGCCCCTCTAAAATCTTCAGGATATAAATCTAATAAAATAAATATGCCCAGTTCTTCACTAAGAAACTCCACTCTTCTCCATACTGCACTATCCACCAAGAAGCAACTCTCATGGTCCTCACCAGACATGGTGAAAAGGAGAGGCTGAGTACAAATTAGCGGACTTGAAGCATCAACCAGTAAATTTTTACTCAACGTCTGTCAGCCACTATTGGGGATCTCATTCATACTAATCAAGCTGCTATGCCCCTAACGATGCTTCTGAAAACCACCATAACGATGCTTTTGAAAACCACCATGAATAAATCCATCCATCCAGAGATACCGGTCCTGTGGCATGGAAAGGAGAAGGGGCAAGACATCCATTCTGCCTAACCACCACTATTACCAGGCTACATTTGTTCAACTCCTATTTGGGGAGAAAACTGCTTGCCAAGGAACTGAAACGACAACTGCACTGCAGGGAAGTCGTGCATTTACAAGCCACCACAGTCATACCGCTGCGTCAACGTTTGCAGGAGAGTCGCCGTTGGGATCTGCCAGCATAGAAATTACACTAATCATGATAGTTTCCACAGTATGGATGGGAAGCCAGCGTTCTTCGGGTTTCTCATAGCCGTATTTGTCTTCACCAGGCTCGTGAAGGATGGAAATACAGACATCACCATTTTTGTCAACTATCAAAGCAAAAACATTATTATTAATAGCAGCAATGCTGTTCAGAAGTTTAATAAATTTGTGTCAGCAAGTAATGTGACTGGTGTTTAATTTCAGTTAGCACCCTAAAATCTACCCCACTTCTATTATTAGGGGACAGCTACATACTAAACCTAGCCGTTCGAAAGCAAGAAATTGCAAGTAGATAAATAGGTACCACTTCGGTGGGAAGGTAACAGCGTTCCATGCACCTTGGCGTCATGCCGGCCACATGACCACAGAAATGTCTTTGGACAGCGCTGGCTCTTCGGCTTGGAAACTGAGATGAGCACTGCACCCTAGAGTCGAATTCGACTGGCTTTCGAGCAAGGGAAACCTTTACCTTTACACATACTAAACTGCCTGATAGTTGCCATGGCTATTACAAATGAATCACTGCATGTTATCTTCACCATAAAAATCCACCAGAAGAACACGTAGCATGGCAACTCTGTTATCTTCAAACATCAGAAGCATCTTGTGATGCAAGCCACAAATGGTTCCATAATACAGTCTGGGGAGAAGAGGATAAAAGGCATCTGTCCAAAATCCCTCAAGACATTCATGGTCCAGGGCAGGGTGAGTACGTCTGCTTAAAATTCCCTTTTCCAACCTTGACCAAAACAATGTCAGCATGGCTTTATTAAACTTCACACATAGGGAAAACTTGATTGCCAAAAGAAGAGTCTATTCAGTCAACTACTACACAGACAAGAGTCACTTTCATTGTTAAGTAAAGTCCTTGCTGTCAAATGTATATACTAAGCAATGAAAGATTATTTTTGGCCAGAGTACTTTGCTTATTTCAGACACTCTGGCCCACGGTTTTAAACAAGTCTCCCACTGTAGCTTACAGAATTTAGCCAACTTTTTAAACCAAGTGTTTGGTTTATTAAGAAAACCCCACAAACGGCAGCATAAGCCACTTGACATTAAAAACCTAGACAGTTCTAAAGCTAGGTTTCGCTAAAAGCAGAAGAAATAGGCACCTTCACATGGCACCTAGAAGATGGCAGCATAAAGGCTTGCTGGTATGTTTCTGAAGCTGAGGCTTTGCAATCAGAAACAGTATTAACTGCACAGCTCTTCTGCTTAATCAAAGCACTTCACGTTATATCACTATGTAATCCTTAATAAAGGATGTAAGGTACATCACTGTTGTCCTATCCTGGAAACGGGGGATGGCAGTGAAAAAGTGTGGCTTGCCTATGGCCACCTAGTAAGTTTGTGGAAGAGGCAAGAACCAAGCTGGTTCATAGTTCACTCAGCCTTACTCTCTCTGCTACAAGTCTGGAGAAAAATGTTTTCCTTGCCAGCCACCCCACCAAGCCTCCAGAGATGAAGGCATTCTAAGAAGCAGCCCCAGATATTTTTAATGCATAGGCAGGTTTGCAAAGGAGAAGTCAGTTCTGCAGAACTAGCATACTTTACTAATAATCTTCCTGTCTCATCCCTCTACCCCATTACCCAAACGTTGGATCTTCGCTTGTTTCCAATTCATTCCAGACGCAAGACAAAAAGATATTTTACACACAATGAGAGAATAGCAGCTTACCATTTGGATGCCATATTTCTGTGATAAACTTCATTTTTGGCGGCCTGAGTGGGTAGTCCTTTGGGAAAGTAAGATGAGCCTTGAAGACACCGCCTTCACTGCATGAATTAAAATAAATCTTCAGTGACTGGCCTTAGGAAACTTCAAAGGTTCATTTTCACCATGTCAGAACATCAGTGTTTTGAATTCAAGTGAAGTCATCATGTCCTAGTGTCAAGAGACTCACAACAATACTCTCATTTGCAGTGATTTGTTTATTGAGATACCTGCATGGTCCAGGTGGAACAGTACCGTGTCAGAACTGAGATTCACGCAGGAAATTCCATAGATAGAGGAATTTCAGACAGTCTATATATTCCATTTCAGGAACTGTTCACTAACGGTTTTAGTAACGGTTCCCTGATGGAATATATTTACCCTTTCATACAGAAACGCTTCTGTCCCGTTCGGGAAGCGTGGCTGAAGCGTTTTTACTACAAACTGCTTCCAACTGGTCTTTAAATCCTTCTACCACTTCTGAAGAGGACCTAAAGAGCCTCTTGCTCAGGGTCAAAGAGGAGAGTGCAAAAGTGGGCTTGAAGCTCAACATCAAAAAAACTAAGATCATGGCATCCGGCCCCATCACTCCTTGGCAAATAGAAGGGGAAGTCGTGGAAGTAGTGACAGACTTCATGTTCTTGGGATCCCAGATCACCGCAGACTATGACTGCAGCCATGAAATTAAAAGACGCCTGCTCCTTGGGAGGAAAGCGATGGCGAACCTAAATAGCATGATAAAAAGTAGAGACATCACCCTGCCAACAAAAGTCCGCATGGTCAAAGCAATGGTATTCCCAGTAGTCATGTATGGCTGCGAGAGTTGGACTATAAGGAAGGCCGAGCGCCAAAGAATAGATTCTTTTGAACTATGGTGCTGGAGAAGACTCTTGAGAGTCCCTTGGACTGCAAAAAGATCAAATCAGTCAATCCTAAAAGAAATCAACCCTGACTGTTCCCTGGAAGGCCAGATAATGAAACTGAAGCTCAAATACTTTGGCCACCAAATGAGAAGGGAGCACTCACTGGAGAAGACCCTGATGCTGGGAAAGATTGAAGGTCAAAGAAGACGGGGACGGCAAAGGATGAGATGGTTAGACAGTGTCATCGATGCAACGAACATGAAATTGAGCCAACTTCAGAGGACGGCGGAAGACAGGAGGGCCTGGCGGGAGATGATCCATGGGGTCGCGAAGAGTCGGACTCGACTATGCGACTGAACAACAACAACAACCACTTTTGAAGCGCCATGGCGTGCTGTGTAAAATGGCCCTGTAGCGCTTCCTGCAATGACAGTTCTTTTCGCACCCTTTTTCTCCCCACACGTGATCATCCTTTTTCTTTTTGAACGTTCTATTGGGAGCGCTATGGCACTGCAGCAGGACTACAAATCAGCACCATAGCGACCCCATTGAGATCCCTGGACTCCATTTAAATACACTGACGTTCGCTACTGCATCTCAGCATCGATTTTAAAAGGTAATTTCGGGGCAGACATTGTATTTATGCCTGTTAAAAGATTAAATCACCGAAAATAGCAATAAGCACAAACATACCAACACAGCACAGCATGAAAAAGGAGGAGGAGGAGGAGGGGCTCTACTAGTTTGTGCTTTGATGAATTAAAAAGCACCAGATTAGCCTGCTACCTGGGTTTCAAAACTGTCCGGTCCTGCCCACTCCCCTGAATTCTGTATCTAGTGAGCTCCTTGCTTCCAGGGGACAGCAGTAGCGAATGTCTGTATTTAAATGGAGACCAGGTATCTCAATGGGGTCGCTATAGCACTAGTTTGTAGTCCTGATTCAGTGACATAGTACTCCAAATAGAATGGTTTTGGGTTTTTTAAAAACCATGTCAGGGAGATTGTGTGCGTGCGGAGGGGGGGGGGGAATGGCAGGAAAAGAAAGCGGTGCAGTTTGAAATGACAAACCGCTTCAGAGACAGCTCCTTACCAGAAGGGAAAGGCTTGGTGAAACAGCCGTCCCTGTACCGGTTTAGTCCATGATAGTACAATAATGGTACGTTCAGAGAGGTATCTTGGAGAAAGAGTTACAGCTTCTATAACCCCATGGTTCACACACTCCAACACTCACAATGCCCCCCAGGAATTTCCCATCCCCCAGACATCATGGTAAACTAGAGACAGAGTTTGACATTCTGCCCACCCAAAGCCCCTATCCACCCAGCTTAGAGGGGAGCTTTTTATAAAAAGTTTGTACACATTTAGGGGCTTTCATAAGTTTAGCTTCCACCCATTCATTATGATTCTCATCAAAGTCTCTCCATTTGATAAGGTAAAACAGTTGCCCCCATTTAAGTTTAGAGTCTAAAATTTCCTCCACCTCCTGGTGGGGTTCCCTGTCTACGATCAGGGGAGGGGGAGCTGGAGGACGAGGTTTCCTCTTCGATGGGCCAGGATCCTTCTTCAGAAGACTGAAATGAAAACAGGGTGGACGTTTCATAAGTTCTTTGGTAATTCAACCTCAACCGTCACTTTGTTGATTAGGCACTTTACTTTAAAAGGTCCCACATATCACCACCCCAACTTCCTCCCTGGATGTAGCCCCCTAAGGTGTTTTGTGGAGATGTACACCGAATCCTCAGGCTTTATTTCCCACTCCGGTCCTCCCCCTTTGTCAGTCTGGTGTTTATAGTCCTCTTTCGCCTTGGCCAGAGTCTTTTGGAGAATGGTCCACCCGTGGGTCACCCAGAACCGTTGGTGCCAGGCTCCTCCACGTTCGCAGTAGGGAGAGGGTCCCTGTCATAGCCATGCACCACTTTAAAGGGGGACATGCCAACAGAGCTGTGAACATAATTGTTGCAACTGTAATCTGCAAATGGGAGCAGGTCCCACACAGCCCAGTTCCGTTCAGTGGTTAAGAACTTTCTGGAAACATAGGCCATCAGGTGCAATTTCCCATCCTCCTGCTGCTGCAGGATCACTCCCCCCATGGCCACATCTGAGCCGTCCACCTGTACTAAAAATTGTTTAGTCTTATTGGGGTGTTGCAAGACTGGCTTGGATATAAACAAAGTCTTTAGCCGTTTGAAAGCCTCTTAGACTCATGGGTCCATAGTAACCGGCTAGTCAGCTTTTGGCTGACTGGGCCCTTCCCTTGGTTTTCAACAAATCAGTAAGGGGGAGGGTGACCTGGGCAAAGTTAGAATCATAGACTCAGAGTCATAGAGTTGGAAGGGACCTCCAGGGTCATCTAGTCCAACCCCCTGCACAATACAGGAAATTCACGAATAATTCCCACTCCATACCCGTAGTGACCGCTGTTCCACGCCCAGAAGTTGGGGTTGAATGGGCGGTAAAAACTGGTGAACCCTAGAAAAGACTGTAATTGACATCATGTTTTAGAAGGTTCCCATTCCACCACATCTCGAACCTTCTGAGGATCCATTCCCAGTCCCTTCCCGGATATTCTGTACCCCAAAAAGTCCACCTCCTCTCTATCGAACTCGCATTTGGAAAGCTTAACAAGCAGTTCTCATAGAGGGCTTTCAGGACGTCACGCACCGGCCTCACATGTGACTCTTTATCTTTGGAATAAATCAAGGTATCATCTAGATAAAACAGGACCCCTTTATAAAGGTGCTTGACTTCATTAATCAAGTTCATGAACACCCTGGGAGCCCATGCCATTCCGAAGGGCATCACTCGTCCCCTTTCCTTATGCATACCCAAAAGTAAGCATCTCTCAAGTCAAATTTGGTAAAAATCCGACCCTGGGAAGCCTCGGCCAATAAGTCTTTTATAAGGGGGAGGGGGTAAGCATTACACATAGACACTGCATTCAGCCCCCTGTAATCCATGCAGTCTCAACCCCTCTGTCTTTTTTCTTGCAGAAGTGTATGGGGGCTGCAAATGGAAAGGTTGCCAGCTGGATGAACCCCCGGGCCAAATTTTTGTCAATGAACTTTCACTACTCCGCCTTCTCAGCAGGGCTCATGGAGTAAAGTTTCCCTTTGGGCATTTGGTGCACCGGCAGGATCTCCACTGCAGAGTCAGTTTTGCGGTGGGGAGGTAACCACCTCCTCCTTCCTGTGCTAGCTGCAGGATGGGGCTCTTCCCACCAATCGGGATCCAATTGGTGGCTCTGACATTGGGGGTCTAGGAAGGTTAGAGTTCTGGCACTCTACTGTTCATAAGGATCGTGAGCCTGAAGCCAGGGACTCCCAAGCAAAATGGGAAACTTAGCTGTGGGGTTAACCATGAATGAGCACAGTTCCCAGTGCGAGGCTACCCCCACTAGTAAAGGGATGGTGCAGTAGCGACATGCCTCCACCCTCACTGGAGTCCCGTCCATTTGGGAGAACACTATGGGCTCCTTTAATTTGTGCACCTTAGTTTCCAAGCCTGTGACTATGGCTGGGTTAATCACGGTAACAGTCAAATAAAAAGGGGGGAAGGGGGTCTCACTGAATCTTGCGCCGACAGTTGTTGGACCTGCTGGTTGGCACTCTTCCCAGCAGGTCCTGGCCTTTCCCCGCTGGCCGATGCTCCTCTCCATTGCTGGATGAGATGCCTTCCAGGTCATCCCAAGGGTCCCGACTGCAGAGCTTTGGAGGGCTTGGGTTTCTTTCCTAGGATCTTTGGTCATTTTCCTTTGGTCTCTTCCTTCTTCAGTCTGTTGGGGCTCCTCTCTTGGGGACAGACAGCGGCAAAGTGCCCTGGGGCCCCACAATGCAGGCAGAGACCTAAGCGCATCTGCTGGGTTTTGACCCCCCGGCCTCTTTGCCCAGGGTCTTCATGTAGTACATCCGCACCAGGTTGAGGCGGTTTTCAGCTTCGCAGGCCACCTGGATCCAGATATTCAGGGTGAGGGGGTTATCTTGCAGCAGTGCCTTCTCCAAGATGGTTTGATTAGGGCCTCTACAGTAAAACTCAATAAGCACCTCCTCGGGCCAACCGTGTAACTTGGTGGCATCTGTCTTGAGCTCGTCTGAGTACTCACAGACTGTACAAGACCCCTGCTTTATTCCTCGAATACGAGTCCAAGTTCTCTCCATCTCTAGCGGGTCTTCGTACTGCCATCATAGAGCCTGCATGAATGTGTCTACATCGCACAGCTCCGGGACTCCCACATTATACAGGCCCACAAACCAGTCTGCTGCGCAATCTTGCAGCTGAGCCCCCACAAATTCTATCCAGTGTTCGTCGGAAGTGAAGGTATGGCCCCATTCCCAAAGGAACTTCCACACCTGGATAGCAAAGAATGCCAGCTTCTTCGAGGTGCCATCGAAAATTGCCTCTAGGGCCTCCTTGGGGCAATCCAGTCCTTGGTGGGCCTGCCGCCCCAGTTGGAGGGGGGAGGAGGCGTTTGCTCTGTTTCTGCCTCCTTCTCTCCATCGCTTGGCTCCTTCTCCATGAGCTCCTGGACAACCTCTGGGAGTTTCGAATCAGCATCTGGATGCCCTTCCGGAGCTCCTCAACTTCTCCTTCGATTTCCGCTTGAAAGTGTTCCACACTCACCTCTTCGTTCAGCGCCCCCACCATTCACAGTCTCTCAGGGTCATCACCGAACGTGCATGAGGTTCTTCTCCATTCCAGGTCGGGGTCAGTCTTCTTGGCTTGTTGCCCTGAGGTGCAGAGCCAGGCCGGGCCTTCCCACCTGCCTGGGCAAGGGAAAGCCTCCTTGAGCTTTGCAGTTTTCCCGCAGCTCGTGGCCCCCATCTTGGCATGTACACCGGCTGTGCTGTCGCCCTTCTGGTCATCTGGATTGGGAATCGGGATCTCGGTCGTTGTGCCAGTCCCCATCCCTGTTGGGATTTCTTCACCTTCGCTTGTCATTGTGTTCTCAATGCAGCGGATGAAGAGAGGGAGTTCTGACACTATGTCAGACCCCTGGTCAAGAGACTCTCAACGACACTCTTTTGCAGTGATTTGTTTATTGAGGTATCTGCATGGTCCAGGTGGAACAGTACCGTGTCAGAACTGAGGTTCACATGGGAAATTCCACAGATATAGACAGTTCAAACCAAAGTGCACCAATCACACATTGCCAATCTCCCGCCTAAATTTCATTATTCTAACCCCTGGGAATACATGGTTCCCTTATGTATGAAAGCGAGAAAAGCACAGCTTTGACTTCAAGGTTGTCCATGGCATTCAGGGAGGTATCTTGGAGAGTTACAGCTTCTACAACCCCACGGTTAATACACTCCAACACACACACAGAAATTTCCCATCCCCCAGACATCATGGCAAACCAGACAGAATTTGACACCTAGTTAGCACTTGTGTAAAAGCTGCTGACAGTCCATGTGATGTGGTTACAGTATTGGACTAGCATCTGGTTGCACCAGGTTTTACTCTCCAATCCACCAAATGAAGCCTGCTGAGTAAGGTCACTCAGCCAGACATACACACTCAGCCTAACCTACTTCACAGGGTTGTTTGGAGGATCAAACTGAGGAGAAGAGAAGAATACAAGCTGCTTTGAGTCCCCAATCCCCAGAGGGGTGGGTACTTACCCATTAGTGTCTACAAACCAGAACGTGCCTCTGGATGACTACTTAGGACTTCCTATCTCATTAATTACTCCCTCAGTGGAATTCAAATCTAGAACTTCACAACAGCAAATACAGAGGTCTGCCACATACACTTAATCTAGTTTCCCAACAAAGCAATTTTTGAAAGAGGCAATCCCATGTAGTTCAGTGCCAACTGTGTTTTAACCTGAAGGCAGCCACATTGATTTCAAACAGTATTTACTTCAAAGTACACAAAGTACACAAAGATTATAGCCTTAGTTGGTGCCCCCCTTAGCATTTTCTCAATGATCTGTACTACCAGCACACCTGCATCAAAATAATTTTGAACAGTTACATGGGGTTTACCAATGAACGTGCATTTTATTTTCTACCTTCCCTGTCATGAGACTTGTGAGGAAGTCCTCTAGACAGCAGGGGAGAGAAAAAGGCAAAGGCTGGCAGTACTTCCAGACAAGAAAGCATTGTCAGGTTTCTGTAGAGCAGCTCCTCACACTGGCAAATATTTGCTGCCAAGCAGGAGCTGCAGAGTCACCTGCATTACACCATCATCTCCATTAAGTGATATGACCAGCTTACTGGCTGCGTGCCTAACGCAACATCTTGTAAGAGGTGTTAAATGATCGTAGCACTAAGACAAATGCCTGAATCCATACTTGTCAAGTAGGACAACATGCACTTTCATGTAGGGTTGTTGGGCCATTTGACCTGCTCACTTGCTTTGTTTATTGGAACAAAGATAATTTAATTGAAAAACATGATACCAATATTAATTGCAAAAAAAACCAAACGAATTAGTTAACATGCTATTGTGAAAATGAAGTTAACTTTTAAATGAACCATCATAAATTATTTTAACTTCTAACAAGGTTAAAGCCACCTTCACTTCTTGCCTTTGCTAACAAATGATACCATAATATCATAAGGGAAGCTGCTAACTATACAATGACATTCGCAGCTAGAAGCAATATTTGAAAGTGGGGAAATTTGTGATCAACTGACCTGTGCCAATCCTTCTTTTGTATATCAATATCATTTGTCTTATACTTGCTTGAGAAAGTGAACTTACTGTCTTTCCCTTGCAGTTTATGAACTATTTCAGCTTGCTAGGCAACAGCATCTAGATGCCATTCTACCAACACAACTAAAATGTACCCAGGCCTTGCTATCTGTACAGCCAACATTTATCCTAGGGTGAAGAAGAGTCATCATGCACCCTGAGCATCTCAAAGAACGACACCATGGTGCTCAATAGATGGAACTTTCTAGGAAAGTAAGTTACAGTGAAAACTAGTAAAGAGTGAAAACTATTATGCTATGGAACTCATCAGGTCTCTTGAAATACAGTATTTTCACTGTTTACTTGCAGCTTGGTGTTTTAGCCAGGCACACCTGGCTCTAAGTAATTAACAGATGAGAATACATGCCATTTATTTTGTTTACTTTGTTTACACCCCAGGTTTCCAGCCAGTGGAACCTCACTTGGCTTACCACATTTTCCCCTTCCTCCAATGTATCCTCAAAACAACCCTATGAGGTAGGTTAGGCTGTGTGTTTGTGACTGGCCCAAGGTCACCCACCAAATTTCCATGGCAGAGTGGGCATTTGAATTTGGGTCTCTGAGATCCTAGTCCAGTGTTCTAACCACTACGACACACTGGCTCCACAGATCTCATGTTCTAACAAATAAGAGCACATATAGGTCTTCAGTTCAAAGAAAATAAAGCTTGCACTGTTTTGTACAATAAATTTTATTGAAAAAACAAAATAATCATAACAGATTGTATAATTGCAGAACAAAAATACATAAACATTTGAGCGATTTGTGAACAATTGCAATTCAGTCAATGACCATTTATGTGCAATAAAATTATAGCTATTCATAAATATTTGTGTGTGTATTTAACATTAAACCACAAATAAAACATTTCTTCTTTACAATTACACCAAGATTTTGTTTACAGTTATTGAAAAGAACCAACTAGTAACTGGTTTGACAGAATTCCTACTCAATCCTCTTTTTATACGATTTGGTCTCCTATCTTAGCTTGCACTGTTTTGAAACATTTGCTTGCCACTCTCCCCAAAACCCTTAGAAGGGAAGAGTGTCTAAATTTTGCTACAGTTTTTGCTTTCACTCAAGTATTCTTAGTTGCTTGCAGTGAAACAGACATCCAGGTGGAGACTGGAATACATATAGGTGTTCTAACTTGTGTACACAATACTGCACTTGGACTACAAGTTATTTCCCTCCAAAACCTCCATTTGTTTTGCCCCACTCCTCCTTTCTACTTGCCTTGAAATCAGCTTCTCTCCCTCCCCTTCTGAGTCAGTAAAGATGGGAGAACCAGCAGAATGAGCAGAACTGGATCTTATCTCATCATCTTGACTGAAGTACAGTATAGCTGCCTCCAGGAGAGAACCAACTCACCCAGTGACAGGCCAGATTATTAATCAAGGCCTCTCAATGTTTAATCAGTGTGCCTTCAGCCACAAAAGAGCCTTTTCACAGCTTTTGTGTCAGACTGATCTGATTTGGACTATTAGCCTGCATGGATAACTAACTCACCTCTCTGCAAGTAGAGTAGCTTGTATAGTGTCTGAATGCTTGGTTCCTGATGTGGGTTTCTAATATAGGGTGCTATTAGAGTGATTTAGATTGCTCCAGTGGGCTAATTCACCAGCCCGGGTTCGTATTATTTCTCTCAATGAACTGTGTTGCTGATTTTACTCAACATGGATGCCTGTATTTCTTCCAAAACTGTAGAGGCCACTTTATCAAAAATCTTACAATTGTGTGACTGTCTCCACCCAGACTGGGAATAATACCAGGTACCGAACCTAACCAGCAGCACCTTTGGCACAGGAGTGAGGTGTGGTGGGAGAATTGCCACCTTATATTGCGCATTTTTACTCAAAATAGAAAATACGCCACATTTATATTGGCATGTATCTAGGGTACACATGTATCCCAGACAACACACAGTACTCATTAACCTTTGGTCAGAAGAAAGCAGCATACAGAAACTGCTATAATCAAGGACAGTTAGCTTGAGCAATACATAGAAGTTACAACAATATTCAGTAAACAAAATGAAGTACTAAGCCACATTCTTAGAAAAATCAATAGTTCAGAGATTACCAATACTTACTATAGTGTATCCGGAGGACCAATAATAAGGACTTCCCATCGATAGAGATCATTATCATCTATTAAGCCTGCTGAAAAGCCTTCCACGGGGTTTTTGTTGAGCTCTGTTTAAAACACAGACAAATACTGTTACAGACTGGTAGTATTTGCTCATGCCTTTTGCTTTATAACACACACATGCAGAGAACTTCCAGAGATTGTGCTCTTTAGCTGAATATTGAAATGCTTTCCCACTTTTAAGGTTCCCAGTTTGCTTGTTACCTGATGAACAGAAAGGCCATACACCAAATACCCAGATCAGAAAGCCATTTAATGCATGTTAAGTTACTCATCTCCAATGTTCCCTCTAAGCTGTGGAGTCTTGTGAGCAAATATTCTACTTTGTGAGCTACCGGCATTAAAGTTGTGAGTGAGTGATTTGGCTACTGCATAAATTAGTTTGCTCTGGAGCCCTCCTTCCTGAGCTAAGACAAAAATGTGTGAGCTGGAAGGTAAAAAACTGTGAGCTAGCTCACACTAACTCAGCTTAGAGGGAACACTGCGAGTCATCTCTAGTCATTCTTCTACTTTTCCCCTTCCAACACACAGCAAGCCACTACACCAGATTGTGAGGACATGTCTCTTCCTAGTGATAAGCTGAACCATTATGCTACAAAAGCACTACTGCATATTCATGACGACATTAGTTCCAAGAAAACAAAATTGCCCCTACAAGCCACTTTCTAAGAGCAACAGCGTAAGTGAAAGTGTGCTGCCTTTAAGGATGCAGAATTGGTACCACGCATGAAGCCTACTAAAATTAACCATCACATTTTGCTCTGCTAAATTCCTTTAGGGTGTAGGCTGACTTAAAAAAAGTGTTAAACACTGTAATACCTAGAAAACAGACTAACCACCCCAGAGTAGCATTCACTTGCTTTGAAATCCAAGCACTGCTAAGAAACCTGTTCAAACGCAGCATTATATGCTAGATTTCAAACATACAGAAATCTCAACAGGTAGTTCCTCAGCAACCTAGCAACGAAGAGAGGTTGAAATACTAATATAAAGAGAGTGACCAGAAAAAGTTAACACCTCAAAATGAAAGCAATCTCAAGTTATTTGACTTTACTATCTGTTCTCTATGATGGTACTGATTCCAGCATTCAAGTTACAATTTGAAACAAGTGTTACTACCCTAAAGACACAGAGAACAAAGTTTGAGTCCAATGGCACCTTTAAGACCAAGTTTTATTCAAGGTGTACACTTTAGTGTGCATACATACGTCTTCACATACAACGAAACGGAAATTATTGGTCCATACATATAGAGGGTGAACAGTAAATTAGCATAGAGCATAATGAAGATGGTTAACAGATTCAAGACCAAACAGGAATAACAAGCTTAGTTTACATGGTTACCACTTGTTTGAGTTAAATTCCAGGGGGGAGGAGACATAGGAAAAGAAATATGTCAAAATTGGACCTTAATTGTGGAATGCTGAGAGTAGTTAACTAAGACCCTGCCATTACGCTCCATCTGTCTCCTCTCAAGCATGGAGGTGACCTTACAGCAGCTTCATCTTTAAAGTGGGGTGATTGGCCTTGTAGAGTTATTTCCCCTGTACCCAGACCAGAGAAATACATTCCAATTTACCTTTCCAAATTACATTACATTCTAATACTCATTATATTACAGTTTACTATTCTAATATATTATTCCAAATAAAAAATAAAGGACATATGGCTCTTCTGGGGGATTGGTGAGAATACAGATGGAAGGGTTGAATGTGGTTAGCCTATGTAGTGAGATAAGAAACCAATATCCCTGTTAAGTCCTGGGGATTCCATTGTTCTGAGTGTTGTAATAACTCGCAACTCAGCAATTTCCCTTTCTAGTCTGTTCCTCAAGTTCCTTTGCAATAAAACAGGTTCTTTGAGGTCACCCACTGAATGTCCTGGAAGGCTGAAGTGTTCTCCTACAGGTTCTCTCAGTCTTGTGATTCTTGCTGTCAGATTTGTGTCCATTTATTCTTTGGCATAGAGTTTGACCTGTTTGCTCTATGCAGAGAACCGAAGGGCATTGTTGGAATTAACAGTATATACAATGTTAGAAGATAAGCATGTGAATAAGTCTGAAATAGTTAATGTTATTAGGTCCAGTGATTGTGTTGTCTGGGTGCATGTGGCAGCAAAGTTGGCATCTGGGTTTACTGCAAGCTCTGGTACCAGTGTCCATATGCAAATCAGATGTTGTATTACTGTGGGTGCAGAGTTGTTTGAGATTGAGAAAAGGTTTGCCCCCTAGTACTTGTGAAAGAGAACTGTCATTATTCAGTAGAGGCTGTAAGTCACTGACGATGCATTGAACTGTTTTGAGTTGAGAGCTGTATGTAAGCACTACTGGTGTCCTGTTATTATCTCTTTTGGGCTTGTCTTGCAACAGGTTTTCTCTGGGTACCATTCTGGCTTTGTTAATCTGTTTCTTGACTTCACCAAGTGGATACTTTAGTTCCAAAAAGGTTTGTTGTAGATCCCTCAGGTGAGAATCTCTGTAGGATTGGAGCAGCTGCAGCTGTAGCGTAGAGCCTGGCTGTATACAATGGATCATCTGGTATGTTTAGGATGGTAGCTGGAGGCATGTTTCTTGGCCAGTAAGTTTCCAGCGTAAGGTGGCGTCTATGTGTCCACTATGTATTTTTACAGTAGTATCCAGAAATGAACTTCTTGCATAGATTGGTTTATTGTCAGGTTGATGGTGGGTGAAACTTGTTGAATGCCTGGTGGAATATGTCCAGGGCTTCTTTACCATGTGTCCAGACCAGACAATAAAAATTTCATCACTGTATTGTAGGTATAAGAGAGGCGTGAGTGGTGGGAGTTTAGGAAGCACTGCTCCAAGTCAGCCATGGGCACCCACATGGCCCCACAGTATGCTAACATCTTTATGGCTGACTTGGATCAGCGCTTCCTAAACACCCAGATGCCAATTTTGCTGCCACATACACCCAGACAACACAATCACTGAACCTAATAACATCAACTACACCGTCTCAGGCTTCTTCAGATGCTCATCTTTTTTTTTTTTAAAGAATTTTAATACTTTATACAAAGAAAGGGGGAAAGAGGAGAGAAAAAATGGACAGAAATATATAAAATTCCAATTTAGCATTTTGCATGCAAATCTTCTCATTACAATTTCACAACTATTTCATCAATAATTCTATTATTCTTCACTTAATCATATTGTCTCAGTATTTGAGTTTTAACCTGTCATAAAATGCCCTCCAAGGTCTCAAATTCTTTTTCCATTTTTCCTTTTAATATGTTTGTCAACTTGTCCGTTTTAGTGCATTCCATAATCTTCAGTATCAACTCATGTAGCGTTGGAATCTTCAGTGTCCTCCATGCCATTGCAAATAAAATTCTGGCAGCAGTTACAACATGTAAAATGAAATATCTATGATTCTTAACTCATCTGCTAAACAGTTTAACAAAAATATTTCTGGCTTAAAAGGTACTGTGATATTCAAGACTGACTGTAAGAAAGTGTGCACTTCAATCCAAAATTTATGAACCTTTTTACACACCCACCACATATGGTAGTATGACCCAATATGGTTATTACACTTCCAACATATATTACTCAAATTTTTATACATTTTAGCCGACTATCTGGGGTTAGATGCTATCTATAAAACATTGTATGTAAGGTTTTTTTGAATGAAACAGATTTAGTCAACATTCACTTTCCATATTTTACTTCACTGTGACAGATCGATATTATGACCTACATTTTGCATCCATCTAACAATACATTCTTTAACTATTTCATCCTGCTTTTTTCAATTGCATCAACATACTATACATTTTTAAATAAATTTTTCTCTTGAAGTACATAATTTTTCAAATGCACATTGTTCTAAATAAATTCATCTCTCTGTTTATCCTTACTGTATCTAGATTCAACTTGCACTCCACCAGTCTAAGTTTATTTCACTTTTCTTTAATTCTTCCTGAGATTTTAAATTATTTTCATCATCTAACAATTCTGCGTATCTAATAACTGCTTGTTTTGAGATCAAAGTTGGTTGAGAAAAAGCTTCCACTGGAGACACTCATCTTGGAATTTTAGTGTATATCAGCAGATGGATCTTTTCCCACGTTGTCAATAATGGTCTTATCACATGATTTTTGAAATATTTATGACCAAAAGCTTTCCCATACCATAAAAAGAAGTGCCATCCCAGTTTTAAATTGTGTCCTTCTAGAGCCAGCAGCCTATGGTCTTCAAGTAGAATCCATTATCTCAGCCAGACTAAACTTGCTGCTCTATAATAATTCTTCCAGTCTGGTACTCCAAATCCAGCATTATCTTTCACATCTTGTAAGGCTTTCAACTTAATTCTTGGCTTTTTCCCTTGCCATATAAAACACTGTGTCAGTTTATTCAATTCATCAAAGAAGTTTTGTTTAACATATATCGGTAACATCTGAAATAAAAACATCATACGTGGTAAAACATTCATTTTCAAAATGGCTATTCTGCTCATTAGTGATAACTTGCAAATTTTTCAATTTCTCTAAATCCTTTTTAATATCTTGCAATATTTTGTTATAATTATCTTTCATCAGGAAAGTACATATCGCTATAATATTAATACCCAAATATTTGACTTTCTTCTCCAGTTGAAATCCAGTCAACTCTACTATTTCAAGAAGAAGAAGAAGAGATTCCGCAAAAAAAGAAAAAGAAAAAACAACTAAGTCCCTGCCATGGGTGCCTGATAGGTTGTCACTTCCCCCTCATTGTGTGTGGCCCTAGTAAAGGTAATGTAATTAGTAGTTGTACAAATGTAAACCGCTCAGAGCCCTTAGGGGCTGAGCGGTCTATAAATTGAATGTAAATAAAATAAATAAATAAAATTTATACCCTGCCCTTCAGGAGTCTCAGAGCGGCTTACAAACTCCTTTCCCTTCCCCTCCCCACAACCGACACCCTCTGAGGTGGGTGGGGCTGAGAGAACTCTGACACAAACTGCTCTTTTTCAAAGACAGCTGTGCCAGACCTTGTGACTGACCCAAGGTCACATCAGCAGGTGCAAGTGGAGGAGTGGGGAATCAA